CAGACAATAGAGGAAATATATATATATATATAAATACTGTGCCCTGGCCACCAGAGGGCGATAGAGTACCATGTCAGTATTTAATGTGAGTATCAACATTAACAGAATTGGGTAGCTAGCCTAGCAGTCGCTGAAAACCAGTCGGCCGAATCATATAGAAGTCGGGATGTACGTCAAAATTGAATTAAAATAAAAAGCCAACAGCTTTGTCAGCGACTGCTACCCAGTTCTGTTGGTAAACACATTAAATACTGACATCGTACTGCTATCGACCTCTAGTGGTCAGGATAAGTACTTACAATTTTAGTTGGTACGAAAATGCCACTTCTGACATTGTCTATTAGACAATGCTTCTGACCTATAAACTTTGTATAAATAAAGCTGGCGCCATATATTATAAGCCGAGGCTGTATCTCATTTGGAAAGATTTGTGTTACCTTCGTAGTCTATATACAAAGTTCGTATATAGGTCTATAAACAAAGCTGTTACCTTTGTATACAGACTAACATACAAAGGTGTTTCTTAATGTCTCCTTTCAATGACTATTTCCTTCTGACTTTTCCTATTTCCCATTGTTACTGAAACTTTTTATTATTTATTAAGAAATTTGTATTCTTTTCCACGGGCATATTGAATACTTTTTCAAATTTCTTCGATGAGAATGAAAAAATAATTACTTCAATATTTGTATTTTGTCTTAACAAGCCATTGCCCTACCGCTCGACCTCAAAGAGCTTGTGCTAAAGAAAATGCACTGAGTACAATTCTCATTGACCTGGTTTTTCAATAGAACATGTGAATTGACACTGGTTTTACCAATGGAACATAAGCAGGAAACTCGTCTGGCAGTGGTTTTATCAATGAAAAACGCTTTTTCAATTGGTGACCACCACCCAACGATTATAGACATACCCATAATCGTTGACCACCACCAACATAAAATTATGTCGATTATCACTACTGTCGAAGTTTCAGTTTATTCTGTTTTTGTATCACCAGTGTTGCCAATGATCTGGTTACAAACGACCGGGATCGTGTGATTACCGGGTAATCAAACTCACGACAGGGTAAATATCCTAACATTATATAGTATATTGACATTGAGGGTTATAACGGAAATCATAATTGCCGACAATTAAATATAAAACAGGGGTACTAATCTATAATGTGTTATATTGAATTAGCGCCAATAGCATCGCTAATGGTGTTATTAGTAGTGATATGCCGAGTATCTGTTTTGATGGATCGAGTCGACTCGAGTCAGTTTATAGGTACGGTATTCGTATCATGACTCAATTCCCGAGACCAGTACTCGAATTCTTTGTTTGGTATTCGAATATTGACTCGAGTCTAGAAATTAGAGTCCAGAATTCGAGTCTGAAAATTTTAGCCCAGAAGTAGAGTTTGGGAAAAAATTAAAAGGAGTGTAGGTTAGGTTAAGCATAATGACACAACAATAATGAATCAATACTTTTTAATGAAAGATAGTTATAAACATCAAATAAAAAAATTGATGCATGATCCTAGAGCGATCTAATATTGTTTGTATTATAATGACGTAACATAACCTCAAAGTAAGAATTAAATTACGTGGGAAACCCCGGTATCATCGATAAGCTATGGAGTTTTGAAAATATTGGATGCGTTCTTGAAAATACGAAAAAAAAAAGTTTAAAGCCGGTTTTAGTTTAAAAATGGTTGGATAAGTGAATTATGAATAAAAGAAAACAACTGTAGATTGTTATTGATTTTTTATATCGACAAATAAAATTAATTGGATTTTTTTCTCATTTTATTCTAATATTTGAAAATATCATATTTTTTGCGTACGATTAGGAATATACAATCGTACGTTGGGTAGCCCATCAAGTTATCACAAACTGTCAAATTTTTCCAAACGGAAACCAACCTTATTATTCCGCTATAAAGTTCAAAATCGATTACAGAAATTTGACAGATTTGTATAGCTTGACTGCTGGCAGCTGACTTGCTGGCGGCTGTACATCGCACCAAAGCCAACAAGGTCGTATAAATACGATTTAAATAGTACGGTTGGCAACTCTTGTAAGAGCGAGTTAACCAAATTCGAATACGAGACTCGAGTCAGCTGGACTCGCATAAATAGAATCGAGTTAGCAAGTACCAATCGATTCTTCCTAACTCGAGTACCGGAATCGAGTCCGGCGTACTCGAATCGAAATAAATTGGTATTCAAGTAAGCGAGTTCTAAAGCATGAATCGAGTCTGACTCGAGTCAAACCGTACTCGGCACATCGCTAGTTATTAGCATATTTTTACAGCATTATTTTGGCCGTAAAAGACCAGTACATATTTTTGTGTAATTTTATTTTTTTTTCATTATTAGGTACATCGTTGAAGGATTGATATACACTAATTGTGCACAAGTTCTGGAGTTCTAAAATAATTTGCTGTTGCAATCAATGGGCAAGTTTCGCTATTTCTTCACTCCTTTGCGGCTTTTGAAATTGAAATGGACAATTTTACCAACTTGAGCCTTTAGAAGTAAAAGCGTAGGTAAGTATCGAACATTACGTATCAATTGATGAGAATATTGACTTTCAAAGCAGCACATTTCTTGTTTTTAATACAAATTTCCATCAGAAAACACATGGCGAGTACTTTAAGACACACTTGTAGGCAATTTGACGATTCATCATTGGTAACACTGTTTATTACTACCACATTGTGCGCAGTTTTAAACAAAATATAAACCTGTATTCATTCATTCCTGTTTCCTATATTTGTTTATAGAAGGTCGACTAACTTGATTCATTCGTTTATTATCGAAAATTTTTTTATTTAAGGTATCCAACGATGGCAGAAGGGTACACTTCCAATGAATATACTGATATGATTTTGGCCATGGGTGAAGCTCAAGGTAAAGCTGCTGCTGCTGTACGGATTTACGCGGAGAAGCACCCAGGTCGCAAAGTTCCTGTTGCAAGAACCATGACGGCTCTTGTTAGAAGATTAAGACAGACCGGCTCCTTTTTTCCAAAAACTGGTGGGAATCATCCAAGAATGTGGGTCCAAATGAAGTAAGCTGTACAAGTATTTCTCAATATAAGTTACAAGAATCTTCAAAACATTCTAGATGTATACCTACTTAGATATTAAGAATTGAAATTGTAGTTTGTTAATGCCGTAAATAAACTTATGAATCTCAATACCACTTTTATTGAGTAGAATAATTTTATACTTGAAAAATATTGCATTTGTAGAGAAACAATAGTGCTTTTGGTGATTCAGATTGTCACTACTTATGTTGAATTTGATTATTAAACTTTATAGAAGCAACAACCCAATTGGTGTTCCACATAGTTTCATATTAGGACACTTGTATATAATATATAAGTAAATATTTTTAAATTGAAAGGTTATCAGTTTTCCACTTCTCTATCTACAAAAAATGTGAAAACTTACGAAGAAAGAAATCAATTAAGTTTGAAATGAATTATTCACAAAGATGTGTACATCACGCATAGAAGTTACTTTCAGATACAAAATTGGAGGGAAATTTCCTCCCGAAACAACTACTTTCACTTGAACATTGAGTTACACTAAAGAAAAAGTACTTTCAAAATAACTACTTTCGTATGAACATTTAATTTTATCAAAATTACTGAATGAAAAAAAAAAAAGTTTTATCAAAACTTTTTTTTTTTTCATTCAGTTTATGCTGCAATCATATGATATAGAATTGAATCAGATGTCATTCACAGGAGCGCTACACAATATGAAAGAGCAATGATAATAAATTTCACTCACATGGAGCACTGTCATTCTCAATGGCGAACTTTGAAGTTTCAGAATAAGACAATCTTTTTATAACCAATCACCACCATTCTGGATAGCATTACAATTCATTCGTAACACGATGACTTCAAGCCACTGCGGAGTTAAATCAACTCATGTCACGACATCAATACGTAAAGATATTCGTACACTTATCCTAGCCATAGAAATCTTGTTTGAATTTAAAAGGGTTTATTTTTAGTAGAGATTAGTTTTTGCGTAAAGATGCGGAAGTAGAAAGCCCAAAACATTTCCCAAAAACATGTAAATATGATACTAGGATGTCTAACGGCCTTCTCACAGGTCACTGTCATTTGAATCATCATATGCAGAGACTTGACTGTTGGAAGACAGTGTGTTTTGCCTCTGTTTGGAAAATTATGAAACAGCAAAGCACATACTTTGTGCCTGCCCCGCTGGGGACCAAATCACGTTTTCAGAGTTTGGCAGAGCCGTACTCTTGCCATCTGACCTAAAAGACCACTCACCATACACACTAATCGGCTTCGTTAAGAAGCTAGGTTTAATTGGTCGAGTGTGAATAGGTGTGAGCCACAATAAACCCTTGCGGGTTGCGGTGGAGGATTGAATAGACTCACTCACTTTTAAACTAACCTACTTCCGAGGATACTTCTTTATTAGTGACAGCCAACACTGTTAAGGGTAGATAAAAACTATCAAGAATTCAATAATACAATTGTCTGACTTTCAAGGAGTCTAAATAGGTAGATGATATCTATACAGACATTACTATCTAAATAAAAGGAGCCATGTTCCATTTGCTACCCTAATTAAAACTAATTATAGGTACCTACGACACTGGCCGGCAAGGGGCTTATCGTAATCCAATAGTAATTTAATTGAGAGTCTATACCTTGCGCGATTGCTCGCCATCAGACGTAGCGTGTAGGTACTGTAAGTCAATGTCCTATGATGCTTATTATTATCTTTTTGGAAGTTGGATAGACGCGGTAAATGGCTCGTTCTCGTAATTTTTTGGAAAAATTGGAATGTAACTGTTGTTGACAGCAATTCTGTGATTAAACTATGTCCTCTTATTACTTTTCCATCGGTAATCATTAAGAATGGTCTTGTAATTCAAGGAATGGTGATCTTTGAAAGAGAAGCTCAGTTTTCATAATCCTAACAAAATATGTGGAATTCAAAGAATGAAAATTAGTTTTTGTTCTCAGATCTCTTGTTTACATGACAATAAGGAATTACAAAAGCCTTGTTTCAGATCATTCACAGGGACAAGGACATCCACATACAATTTCTGCTTCTAGAACATTAGATTTTTCACCGTTACAACTTTTGGGACTTTTCTTAGAATCTTCTTGAGTTTTTTCCTCGATAAATTCATTGTCCTCCTTACTTGCCCCTGAGTTTTTCTTCCCTCCCGGGACCGTCTTCAGGGGCTTTTTTACATGGTCCAAAGGCAGACATTCAGTTTTATACTTCATTTTTTCGTAGTTCGGTGCCTTATCGTCTTGAGTTGAATTTCCAGGTACTGCTTTTCTTGAAACAGAAAAGCATTTTTTATAACATTGTTTATGACTAATATTATGGTAATCATACAAACTGCCAAAAATGTCCCAATAAAGTTTTTTGCAGGTATGATAAACAACAAAATATTGCTGAACTAATTCTGAGGTTCCCATAAAAACATCAGAAATAGTTAAAAATAAAAATACACTTGAGAAGACTCGATAATTTATCACTTATTAAATATGTAAATTGTCATGTTTTCATTAACTAAAAAGTCTTTTATTATACAGGCTTTATAAAAGGACTAAGTAGTACAGTTTATTGTATGATTTTCACTATAAAGGGTTTTTCAAAAACCGCGACACGTGTTTCGATATACAATAGTTGTATTAATTTGTTTTAATATGCATTTTCATCAAGTATCGGCCAGTTCTATAAAATTTTTAAAAGGAACTTGAAAATTTCATTTGAAAGACTATATTATAACTTCTGGTAAGAATGACTATGAAAACAAACATTTGCAAAATTTTAGTGAAGTTGCTGGATTCCATCCAAAAAAGAGCCAACCGCACGACTGGCGGACATCACTTGCAACCTTGATAGTCTGGAACATCGAAGGAAGGTTGGAGATTTGTCTGTCTTTTATAAATACTTTCACGGGAGGTGTTCAAGTGACTTGGCACATTTGATTCCACCAAGAGCGGTACATATCAGAAATACGCGACGGACTGTGGCTGCTCATCGTTTTGAGGTTGAACTCAGTACACCTCTAGCTTCACTGTTTGAAAACTTCCATTCGAAGAACTGCCTTTATGTGGAATAAACTTCCTGAGAACGTTTTTCCAAATGAATTTAATCTCCAGCGATTCAAATCCAACGTTAATCGCTACTACCGCACCATTTTGAAACTGAAAACTTTCAAACCAATCTGCATTTATGAATATACAGTCATACAAAACATGAAGTACTTTGGAGGGAAAGTATAGACATTCTTCATATTTGATTCTTTCTATGATGTTGACTATGTTTCGATATCCCAATATATTTTCTGGGTTAACTGATTTTTTTTTATACAAATATCAACATTTTCACGTCAGAAGGAGGATTCTCTCTCCCTATCTCTCTCTGTCATGTAAATTTGTGAGAGCTTACTAAAATACAAAAATCCTCATTTTGGGAGTCAAAATTGAAAAGACAATTCTTTATTCAAATAGGATACATCCTAATATTCAATGATAATAATGTTAACATTGATATACATATAAACACAATAATAGAAAAACAGATCTACTGATATTTGTTAATAAGTAGTCTTACCTGCGATAATTGAAAATAAAAAAAAATAATACATAATAATTTGGTATCACCTTAAATGGTCTCTCAAATGATCTAAAAGATTTCTTTTGAACAAAATAAGACTGTT